AATTATGAAAAATTACACAAAAACTAATTAATAAAATCTTGATTAGAGTAACTAATTACTACACAGTTAAAAATTTTGCGTCATTGCTTAAAAAAATTCTGGTTGAATTTTAAAACCCTCATGTGTAAATTTATCACTTTTTTGTGTTAATTCTTTTAAATCAACACAAAAAAAATACCCGTGTAAAAATCAATTGATATCATGATGAGATTCATATAAAAGCCATACCAATATTCATTTGAAACCCGTAATAAGTAAAATACTTATGTGAACGAATTTTTTTTAAGTAGATTAGTAAAATTTTCATTTTTTCTGTTAGTCAGAGGAAAAGTATAATGATTGAGAAAAACAGTATTTTTATCATGCACTATACTGTTGAACTACTTTACTTTCTTTTTTGATTTTCTTAGAATAATATTTAGAAAAACACTTTCTTGGTTTAAAAAAAATTTTAAACCAATTAGATAATTATTTTTTATTTCAAAAACAATTAAAATCCTCCTAAAAACTACTTTAATTTAATTAATTTGCATTATTTCTTGTACATAGTTATGACTCAATAATTTTATATCACGATTTGAAAACACTAACAATATCATTATGATTTTATGCAGATATGACCATCACTTTATTATAAATTCATGTTAATATCATAAAGATTTCATAATCAAATTACTAGAAATTTTTTTTCGCCAATAAGAATAATAAAAATGTTATAATCTAGTTAAAAAAAAATTTGTTATAAATATTTTACTTATTATGGGTATCAAATGTATATTAATATGGCTGTATATTAATTTTGCAATGATGCAAAATTTTTTACTATGTAGAACAATTTCTAAAGTACCAATGTCATTGCGGGACTGTTTCAATGTTAGCTTTACTTTTTTTTTTTTTGGGTGTCGGTGACAAAATAATTTTAATAAAAAATTTTTTGAAGTTGACTTTATAAAAACCAAATATCTGTGAAATTCTTAAAAGTATATAAAATTGGTATGAAAAAAAATCCAGAGAGTAAATTTGCTCTGGTACTTAATCACAGTCAGTAATCTTAATAAAAATTATTTATATTTATTTATTTATTTATGAAAATTATGACTAACATATCTAACTATTTATTTTTTTTCTTAACAAAACATATATTTTATAATTTTATTTTTATTTATTAGATTCAGCCGTGAACGAAATAAAAAAGGTGAAAAAAAAAAAATGATTAAATAGTTAATAGCAGTTTAAAAAATTGGTTAAAAAAAAAAGAGATTAATTAATGATTTAAGATAATATAAAAATAAAAACAATAATTATTAAAAATCTATTTCTGATTCGTGTGTGTACGTGTGTTTTTTATATACAATGGTATTATAAATAATAATAATGATGATAAATAAAATAATAATAAAAAAATTTATAAATTTTATGGTGACACGTAAATTATTCAGTCTTTTAATTGCCGAGAAATTTATTACTAAAATAAATTAATATAATAAATATTTCCAAAGCTTTTCAACTATAAAGACGTGATAAATTAAATATTAATATCTTTTTTATTATTCATCAAAACATCATGCAGACTTTTTTTTGTACAATTAATATTTTACGCACACTTTAATAAAAATACTGAATTTATAATTTTGTTAAAAAAAAAAAAATAATGCTTGACACTTATTTTCGATGATTCAAATTTATCGCAACTAAAATACAGTATATTTATATTATATTAATAACACATATCTAAGTGCTTAAGTATAATACTGACATTGTTGTTATTGTTTTTAATTTTCGCGGTCATATAAAATGTTTTTTTACAATTAAAATTTTTAGATTGGAAAAATAATGTGAAAAATTAACAAAATAAAATTCAACTTTTTTTTTTTAAATAATCATTTAAATTACTGTTGATTTAATAAAATTTGTTACTGTAATAATTAAATTTTTTTGCTTACAAAATAAAGATGAAAAAAAAAACATTTTTTATTATTATATTATAATTTAAAAAAATATTTGTTTGTCTCCTTTCTAACGTTACAGTAACCGATAAAAACAGTTCGCACGACAATAAGGTATTGAATAGTTAAAAAAAAAGTAAAATAATAATGATAAATAAAAAAGTAAAAGTAAATTAAATAAAAATAATGTAAATTACAAATGCAAACCAAGTATACATTATTATATTTATTATATGACACGAATCATCGTACGGAAGACTAGGGTGAGATCATTATTAATTATTACTTATGATGATGAAAGATGTATGTACTTATTGTTTATTGCAGACAAAGTAAATAATAGTAATTAATAATATTATTATTATTTTTATTTATTGAAAAAATGTGAAATAATTCTCATGTAGATTTATATATAAATAAAAATGTTGGAACAAATTTTAAAAAAATGTGTGTCCAAACTAAATAATTTTATTTTATTTACTAAAAAATACTAGCAAGTAAAAAAAAGTCACCAAAGGATGAATTAAGTGAGAATAGAAAGAATTTAATTTGTTTGTTAAATTAATTATAATTGGAAAATTAAAAGAAAAAACAATAAAACATTTTAATATTTCTGTAAGTAGTAAAACAAATAAATAAATTAAAAAATTATAGGAGATGCTGAAATTGAATTTGAAAAAATATTTAAAAATACGGACCACAATTCGCGTTTGTACACTAAAAAAAAAAAAAAAAATTAATAATATAATTGTATGTAAAAATAAAATAAATGCGAATATTTTTAAAAAATTAGTAAGAAAATTTTTTCACGTTTTTTTTCGATTCAATTACAGCATTTACTAATAATAATTATGATAACAATTATAATAGTTATAATAATACTACTACTACTAATAATATTAATAATAATAAAAATAATGTGTACCTATATGATAGACACATTTGAATGATCACAACGTGACAACTTGTAAACTATTGTAAACTACAATGTTATTTACGTTTTATGAAGAGCTTATTGTAGTCAAGGATTATTAAACACAACTTAAGTCGTAAAGGAATAATTGAGTGTAGCACGATAAAAAAAAACAAACAAAACAACAAATGAGGAACCTCTTTACACTTTTGCACGAGATGTGTGTTGTAATTAAAAAACCAAAACAATTGAGAATGTAATTAATGCTTTATTATCTAGGAATTAAACTTAATTTATTTATGATTAATATTATGTTCATCATGTTGTATTATGCCCTTCGATTACGTTTATTCTATTTATTGGGGTGATTTAAGAAAAATTAGTCATATCTGATCATACATTATATGTGAACAAATGTTATTAATAACAGATCAAATTTTTTACATTTTGATATCAAGAAAGTATTATCACATCGTATTAAATTATTATAAAATTATCCGTACACTAATAGAAAAGTTAACTTGATTCAAGAAAAAAAATTTTGAACCAAGAACACTATAAAAATTCAAACATTCCTATTCAAGTTTTTTTTTTTTAATTTCATTATTGATTGCGGTCGATTTATGAATATAATTTGAAAAATTCATTTTTTGATTACATTTTTTAATTTGAAAGTCAAAACAAAGCATATTTGTCTTGTTTTTCATTAAAATTTGAGAGGGATTAATTTGTAGAGTTATAATATTTTTTTTTTTTTTTAAAGATCGTGAAAAATTTAGCAAATTGAAACAAATGTAATACTGTTGTAATTTACATTTTTATGAATTTTTGAAAAATTTTTTAATTTCAATGTTCGATAAACAGTTTAGAGGCGATGCGATAATTTTTTTGATATCTTTATACTATACTTTGCATTCTACATTAAACATAAAATAATTAAAAAAAAAAACAATTAGTCAATGTGGCTAAGATGTACACCAAGTAGAAAATATGTAAAGTATAAAATATTAGCTAGTTAAATAGGTATACTTACAACATTTTTAATCTAATAATATTCAAGTACCGACGGTATGAAAAGTCATGATTTTTATTAGTGAATATGTTATTTATTTATTTTTATTATATATTACTAGAAAAGATCGCTACAATGCTAAACTATTTTATCTGTTATATATGATCGTGAATAATGTATGACCATGATTAATTTTTCTTGAATTAAAAAAAAATTCATAGTGTGACTTTCATCAAGTTTCATGGAATCATATCAGTTTTCTTCAAAATTTCCAGTGCCTCAAACTCACATGAGCTACTCGATCAAATTGCGAACAACGAGTTGCATTCGCTATTCCATGAAAAAATTTATTCCTATTTCTTAGCTTACAATAACATTTTTTTTCTTTTCATGATACTATTATTTAATAATTACTTAATAACATAACACCAGCTAGGCAATAAAATAGTGCGTCGCAAGATAGCAGTTAAAAAAAAAAATAAACTCTATATATAACTTTTAATAATCAAGGTCAATATCGATTAAACAAAAGTGATATATATCTTTTAAAATTTATTTTATTTTTTATTTCCAAAAAATTTATTTATTTATCTATAATAAGTGTATGAAATTTTTTCTAAAATTGATGAAGCTGGTTAGCTGACAACTGTCAATTTTTTTGATTTTTACAACAAATAAATTACTAAAAAAATAAATTTTTTTGACATCTACAAGTGGAATTTTTTAGACAAGTATTATTTTAATAATTTATTTGTATAAGAAACTCCTAAAAAGCATCAGATATCAGCTGACTTAAGTATTATTAAAATTATTATATGATTTTTCTTTAAACCTTTTAACAGTAATTATTATCAGCAAAAATTCCAGAATTAAAAAAAGTTGATAAATTATTATTTTATAAATTAAAAAAATTCAGTTATGCTCGTTTAATAGAAGATAGTTTAATTGCTTTGTTGAAACTTACAATTATAATTTTAACTACTTTAAAGATAATAAATAATTAGGCCAATTTAATACTTATTTGTCAGAACCGGCATCGTGTTTCCTCAACATTAAACTAATGAAAAAACTAAAATTTTAATTTTTAACAAATTTATTACTAATAAACGTTGTTACAAATTTTTTATTTTTATTTATGAACTAAGACTTCAAAATTGTCACCTTTCAATACTAAATCATAGTATGGAACGAGGCAATATTTGTAAAGCGGAGGGTCAAGCATACCAACGAATAAATGATGAATACTCCAAACACGACAAATAAAGACAGGTTTATTGTCTTTAGTTTTACCTGCGTAAACAGCTTTGTCGGGGGTGTAAGAAGAGTCTCTTCTCCACTCCACGTCAGAAGAAATCAGTATCTGCAAAAAGAAGAAAATTAGCTACGAACAATATTTAATAATTGATCACTTACATCATAATCAGTATACTCAATGTCAAAGTAGCCATCTGAGGAGCGGCAGCGAGGATTATTTTTTTCGGATTCGCGCACTTTTCCTGGGATTGTGATATTGGACTTAGTTCCACGGCATACGTATACTCTACCAGTGAGATCAGTTCCGGCGAAGACTTTTTCAGTCGCATTTATTACATGATTTCTATGGACCCAGTATGCTCTAACTGTAAACAAATTTACCAGAAGATCAATAATTGAATTAAAGGACCAAGGTCATTGTCGTTGTCATTAAATATTCATATATTCATTACAGTGTAAGGATAATATTATATCATGATAATGTTCATTGATGAATCTCAGATTTTGAGACAAATATAAAATTTATATAAATGTCATCAGTAATTTTTTATTTATTTGGTGAAAATAATTTTTTATGTCAATTCAGATTAAATTCTACTTCAATAAATCAGTTTGAATAAAAATTAATTATAAAATCTTCATAATAATATATTTTATTCCTATGTAGAATGGTAACCATTACTACGTTACATAGTAATATAAATTTTTGTAAGAATTTTGTAAAAATTTTAGAAATTGTGATAAAAATATGAACAATCACTTATTCGATGCGGAATTAAATTCTGAAAATAATGTTATTGATTTTTTATTTTTTTGATAAAAATTTCAATTTGTTATTGATAAAAAACAAATAAAATAAAAAAATCTCAGTATTTCTTCAATAAACTCAATAACTATAGGTGATATCAAAAATCGAAAAAAAGATCCTTAAAGAGGAGGAACAAAAATTATTGTTTTTGAAGTTAAAATTCTGGGAGTCGAGAATTTTTTTCTAAAATTTTCCTCTTCTTTAAGGATCTCTTTTCCGATTTTTGATATCACCTACAGTTATTGAGTTATTTACGAAATACTAAGATTTTTTATTTTATTAATGATTTTGTAAAGATCAAATAGAAATTAAAAATAGTTGTTTATATTCAATGAATAAATTATTTCCAAATAAAAAAAATTAATAAATTTTTTCATCAGTAAACTCATGTTCGTTGAATTTCATTTTCATTAGCAAGAAAAATTTGTTTATCGAAATATTGATATAGTATTTATTTATATGTCCTGTACAATAAAAAATTTTGCGTTATTGCGTCAAAAAATTTTGTATTAAAAATTTAACACTTTTATGTGTAAATTTAACATTTATTCTGTTAAATCAACACAAAAATATGTTAAATATTTAACATAAAAATTTTTAACACAAAATTTTTTACTGTGTAATTGTGTTAAAGTATGAGATTCGCCATTATATTCATAACGAACATCATTACAGAATACTTATACATACCTTCAGGTTTTGAAGATAATATTTTTCCATATTTTGCATATTCGACATACTGGCAAATACCTGACTTACAGGAGAAGGAGGTTGAAAGACAGTCAGATGGCTTGAAACACTTAGAGTAAAGTCCACCGTAGCATGCATTTTCGTGTTCGATGTAATCAGGCTTGCATTTACATTTTCTTTCATAACACCCCGAAAAGACAATCTCACAATCTTTGGAAGATTTACAAAGTGCGTGTAATACTTCTGTAAAGAGAGTTTGTAGTATTGTCATTACAATAATGAATAACTAATGAATGTCACAGACTTACTTGGTGACGCCTCAGAGAAACATCCTATAGAAGTCTAAATGCTTCCAAGAAACATTCCAATGAAGATGTGTAAAGTGAACAATTTATTTTTCACCATTGTAAATTTCTATGCGGTTAAAGTCAGAGAAACTTTATAGTTATCTATTTTGCAGCTTGTGTAGCCACGTAGACACAGAGAGGGAGATATTTTTGTCTAAACTTATAACTGGTATTATTATATGATTGAAATAATAATTTCAGTTTGAAAAAATAACAATTTTTTAAAAATTATTGGCTGTTTATTAATTCTGTTAACATCTAAAGTGGGATTGAAGGTTCATAAAATTTAATTGAATGTCTCATTTTTGTTCGTTAGATATAGGAAAAAGAGAGGAAGGGGTAATGGTTTTGCCAAAACTTAAAATAACTACTTTTATTGCTTTTATCATAATGACAATTGCCGTATCTTTTAGTAGACATGAACTAACGTTAAATTACTAGCACAAATTATGAAAGTGAAGAATAAAAAATTTTAACAGTAAATATTTTTTTTTATTTTTATGGAAAAATTCAAGCCCATTTTTTTACATTGAAAAAAATTAAGTTGGTTGAAGAGAAAACATCTTGAACAGGAAAATAATTTAATTATTAAGAATCAAGTACAATTCACTTAAATTTAAACAAAAATAAATTCTTAGTTCAAGAACATTCTGCTGGATTCAAAATTATTTTCTTGGTTTAAAATTTTTCTTTATAATCAAACTTAATTTTTTATTTATTTTATTTATTTATTTATTCAATTTCAATGCCAAGGCGAAGATTGAATGGCAAAAGTACATATTGTATAAGGTAAAGTAAGTTCACGTATGATTTTTAAAATAAGGATTAACATTAACAATTCATATGTTGCATTAGATAAATTGATACATTTTTATGGTTAAATAAAATTAAGTAGGTTAAAGATAACAAATGAGGAGCAGTTTTTTTAAACTTTTAAATATTAATTATTTCGAGAATTACAAAGATTTCTAAATGAAAATCGAATTGTAGCTTCATAACCGATAAAACACTTTATAGCTAAATTAAAAAAGTTCAATAAAAATATTTATAATTGAAGATAACCAGTTTTTTTCCCGATCAATCAAAAATGAAAAGATACCCTTTTGAAACTCAACTCCTCAAATATTTATCGGTGTATGGAATTCAAGTTTGCCTTAAAATTTATGAAAAAAAATGAATTTATAGTAATCCTAATATTTTAGTAATTGATCAAAATTCGTTTAAATTAATATCTAAAATTAATATCGTTTTAAATAGTTTCATTTATTCTTACAATAAAGTAGTGGATCTTACTACACTGAAAAAAAAGTTAACTTGGTTCAAGAGAAAAATTCTTGAACCAAGAAAATAATTCTTGAATCGAATAAAATTTACTTAAACCAAGAACAATTTCTTAGTTTAAGAATTTTTCTACTCAAATCAAGAAGATTAAATTCTTCAAAATTGTATACTTGATTCAAGAACATTTTTTTTTCTGTGTATTATTTACTTTAATTGGTCAACAGCGCCTATCGGACGGAGTGCCAATTTTTTTTCTTGCTTTAATTATTTTGTAGGTATATCCAAAAAAATGGGATCATCAAAATTGGCTTTATACTTCTGAAGATCCGTCTCCGACATTTCACATCCGAATTTATCATTGAACTTATAAGAGCGGATTTTGAACGCAAGGAACCCTCCAAACCCGTTTTGTTGCTTGTAAATAAGTTCCAAGCCACTCAAGGGACTTTTGACTTCCTCGTAGATAACCGGTTGAAGATCCAAGTAAGGAATAGTGCGCCGGGCCATGTCGATTTTGTAACCCGTTGTTGTGATTTCGATCTCCTGATTTGGTTCTGAATCCTCTGGATTATAACCTTTAGATTTTGCGGGATCGTCCAATTCTGACATGTCTATTGGAGTTCTTTAACAAAATTTGTAAATTGTCAATTAAATTCTTATTGTCTTACTTATTTTTACAATTTTAGCCTTACCTCTCCTGGCCGTAGGCGCCGATAGGATCTTCAGTGTTTTGCCAGTTTATCCAATTCAAAGAAGAATCGTTAGCAGACAAAGGTCTTCGATTTTCTAATACACCAGTGATGTAGTCAAATGGCCATGATAAGATTTTCAATTCAATGGCTTTGTCGGTATCATCCCAAGCCAAGGTGACTCCGACAATAACCTCCCCCTCGGGTGCTACCAATTTGTCAATGTAAAGTTTTCTGTCTGTGGCAGTGATGAATTTGAATTCAACACCATCGGTTAGCATTTTATCACCGTCGTCGGTCTTCATTTTGAATCCTCCTATACCAGTATCAATGTATTTGATCTTATCCAAGTCGATAAATTCATCTGAGTCTGGAACTATTTCTCCGTAAGCACACAATTCAGACTGCTCGATTTGAATCTGAATCAGATTATCTTTTTCCACGAATTTAATACCTGTAACTACCCTAATTGGAGAATAAACATAATAAATTTTTTTTTAAATCATTGAATTATTTTAAAAAGTTGATTGAAAATTAATTTAATGTAAATTGTTTCTTTTAAAAAAAAAGTTTTGGTTTGTTCTAATTTGATAATAATTTAGGTACAAATAAATTTGATCTATTTAAATTGAATCTATTTAAATAAAATTAATATCTAATAATTTGAATTTGAGCAAATTAAATTTTTTTTCTAAGAATAAAAGGAAATTGAAAAAAAAAAAAAATTGATTTTAATGGTTGTAACTGATAAATTTTTTAAAATTCATTTTTGAACGAAAAATGTTTACTTGTTTTCATCAATATCCGCAAACTGTGGTACCAAACTAATAGCTCTCAATGCATCAGACTCGCCATCTTCTTCGGAACAAGTACAATAACAAACTGGGCAAGTCACAAGAGGCCTGGTGTATTCATGCAAATAAATTTCTTTGCCTTGTTTGCAATCATCTTTCTCTCCCAAAAAACCCATTTCTTGAGTGTCTGCCCACTCGAACCTTCTATCATCCGATCCACGCTGCTAAGAATTCAAATGTATCAGTTGAGATGATGATGAATTCTTGATAATTATTCAATTTTTGTAGACTTACTGTTTCACATGCTGTAGTGTCACCCGCATGGTTACAATTGAAAATTTGACCATGACAAGGATTTTTTTGGCAGTATTCTTCAGCACTATCGCCTTGTTCCATGGTGTAACAATTGTCAATCCGAGAAAAATCTATAGAACTACAAGAATCAGTGCACGAGTCGTTACTTTTGGTGTTGCTTGATTGTAATTCGTTGACTAATATTCCTTGAAAAAGGCCCAGAAATTCGGTGAATGTGTCTCCTAAATATGAGATATGTAGATATAGATTTAATGTAAAAATAATTTTTCAAAAATATCAAAAATTATATTCTGGATGTAAAATACTGACGGAAAAATATAAAAAAAATCTAATTAAAGAAATTTGCAGTCATTTTTTAGCTACTTTAAATAAAAGGATTGATTTTTAAATACTCATGAAAAAATTTTCTAATATAACTTGATTAGATCACATATGGCCGTATCAAACTACGTATAAAAATGAAAAAAAAAAAATTTATAACAATTTTTTATTTTTTTTATAAACGTGCAAAAAAAAAGTTAACGTGAATCAAGGAAATAATTTTGAAGATATTTATCTGAATTTGAACATCTAACCCCGTATTATAAAAAGTTAGGATGGCTCAAACTTAGTGCAAGAAGAGATTGCTTCATTGCGTGCTTATTCTATAAAAAAAAAAAAAAAAATAAAATCGGTTAAATTATCAACAATTTTCTGGTTCAATGATGTAAGACAAGATTACCTCTTTTTCTCGCGTTAAAATATGAAAATCAAATTTTAACTAAAAATTCCAATTTTTAATCAAATATAAGCTAATTTATCTAAAAAAAATTTAAATTTCTAAAATTTGAACTTTAATCAAATAAATTACAAACCACGTTTATGATCTTCCGGCGCGCAACGATAATGTGAGTCCGGTGAAGCTTTAAAACCATTATAAGTTGCCAAAATATATTCTTCCGAATGTAAAATTGCATGGGCAGCAGCTTTCTCTGGATTACTTCCAGATCTTAGGTTTAAAATTAATCCCCGAAGTTCAGATAAAACGACAGCTTGGTGTAATTTCCACAGCCGGCTCTGGTTATCCATCTCTACTTCGCACGCATTTGGACGTGAATCCTATTTAGGACAATTGTTAATCTCCAATTAATTGGAATTCTAACAAGAAAATTTAAAAAATTACCTTTGCTACGCAGGAAGGATAGTCTTCATCGCCATCTCCTGTGTATAACTTGTAGAGCTCGCTAATAGATCCAGGCAAATCAGCCAGTTCCATAATGTCATCATCCTCCAAGTCTTTAGTCTTATACTTCCCCCAAGCATCATCTATTTTATTGATCAATCCTTTTAGCCTAGTATTCTTTTGATCGGTGACTTTCTCATGTGGTTGATCGATGAAGAACTCATCGACAATATCGGCGTAATTTTCTTTGTCATTGATTTTTAGTTCATCCAATGCCTCAGCCGACATTTTAAGACTTTCTTGATCTTGATTTGTAGAATTATTCATAATTTCATTGACAAATGATATTATGTCGTCGATATTATCTGCCACATGGACATTGAGGGCGTTGATTCTTGTTACTAGTAAGCAAGTCGCCAAAATTATTTTTAAAAAATTCGGCATTTTGCTCAGTAAGCTTTATTTTAAATATTTAAACTTTCAGTAGTATTGAAGTTAACTTTAATACTGAAAATAATAAGCGAGCTACTACATTTTTTAAGTAATTTACAGAAACATGCGATGTTAATATTAATTGCCATAATTAAATTTTCAGTAGCCAAGGTTAACAACTATCAAAGTAGTTATTTGATAAGTACTCGATAGTAAGAGAGATAAGTTTATGATAATTGCGAAAAAAAATATTATCTTTTAACGTTATCATAATCACAATTAATTATTCTAGAGGAACGCAATAACTTTCTGGTATAATTATTAAAATTGCCGTTCAATTATCAGTTATATTATCAAACAACATCTGAGTCATGGAAAATTTAATTTTTAAACTTAAATTTATGATGATTATAACTATTGTTTTTTATTCTTTAATATTACTATCCTTGATAATGATTTCATTGTTGTTCAATTTAAAAATTCATAAATAAAAATAACAAAAATATTTATATTTAAATTATTTTTTATTATACAATTAGTATGATAACTCTTGATTTACATTTATTCACAATTACTTATCTAAACTATATAGTTAAATTATCAAAATATTAAATATTGTGATAGAGTACTTAATAAGTTATTCAATTATAAAAAATAAAAAAAAAAAAAAAGTAGTATTGAAGTTAACTTTAATACTGAAAATAATAAGCGAGCTACTACATTTTTTAAGTAATTTACAGAAACATGCGATGTTAATATTAATTGCCATAATTAAATTTTCAGTAGCCAAGGTTAACAACTATCAAAGTAGTTATTTGATAAGTACTCGATAGTAAGAGAGATAAGTTTATGATAATTGCGAAAAAAAATATTATCTTTTAACGTTATCATAATCACAATTAATTATTCTAGAGGAACGCAATAACTTTCTGGTATAATTATTAAAATTGCCGTTCAATTATCAGTTATATTATCAAACAACATCTGAGTCATGGAAAATTTAATTTTTAAACTTAAATTTATGATGATTATAACTATTGTTTTTTATTCTTTAATATTACTATCCTTGATAATGATTTCATTGTTGTTCAATTTAAAAATTCATAAATAAAAATAACAAAAATATTTATATTTAAATTATTTTTTATTATACAATTAGTATGATAACTCTTGATTTACATTTATTCACAATTACTTATCTAAACTATATAGTTAAATTATCAAAATATTAAATATTGTGATAGAGTACTTAATAAGTTATTCAATTATAAAAAAAAAAAAAAAAAAAAAACAAATTAAAAACCATACAAACAAAAATCAAATTGTAAAATGATAACAATGAAGAAGTAATTTTCTAAAAACTATGATCTAGTACAATTTAATTTTTTTTTGCCTCTTGTAACGGTTAAACTGCTTCAATATTCTTTCTTGTACTCCTAGAGACGATGATTTTCTTTTTACTCCGCTGTTGTTGGAATCACTCATCTTCTTGGCAAAGGGTTGTATTTTCTTGATGGTGATTTTTATTCCGACTTAGGATAAAGTGCACCGGTACAAGTTGTTTGATAGCCTCTTCAAATTATCTTCAACTTGATTAGTTGTTGCATCATTAGGACTGGTGCCGCTACAAATGCCACTATCAGTTTCAATTTTTTTATCTTTCTCTTCTTCTTCGGAACTGCTGCTGCTGCTGCTGTCATTACTACTGCTATCACTATCGCTGCTACTGCTGCTGTCACTATTGCTGCTACTGTCACTATCGCTGTTAGGAGTGTCGCTGTCACTACTGCTTCCACTGCTATCACTGTTATTCTTATTATCATCTTGAAATAAGAAACAGTTTGGCATATAAGCCCGGATAGCATTTAGATTTTCTTGATCTTCCTGCAGTTTTTTTTTCAACTCCTCTTTACTCAGAACTTCATGCGGTGTTTCCTTGAACACTCTGTCGACAAATTCTTGAATTTTGTCCAACGTTGATTGCTGGTAAACCCAGAAGTTGAACTCTCCATTCATTTGTACAGAGGGTTCTAAAGTCTGCACAAATTCTGCCAGGATGGATGTTTTTTCTCCTGAAAGCCTCATTACAGCCAAGAAAAGCGAAATTCTCTGCTCGGAAGACATTTTTAATTTATTTCAACAGAAAACGGTTTCTCACTTTGTCTTAAAATTTCACTCTAACAAACTGCTCTGAAGAACTAGACAAATGATTGTTTTAATTATTTTCAAATGTTAGAAAATAATTTTTTTTAGCGACAGTAAAAATACGAAGCTGTAGCACAATGTCAACTAACAATCACTTCAAATCACTTGAGAATATTATAACTTTTATCTGTTTAGATGTACTAAATTTCTCTGAGACACGTCTGATAGTTTCAAGCAAATATCTTGGAATAAATTTTGAGAAAATTTTGCAGGACTTATATAGTCATCAGGTCGTAATGAGAATGAGTATAGTTATTATCACAAGAGTTGAAACTCTCTTCCTATTGGACAAGATTAGATTTTGGAAGGGCCGCAATACAATGGGTCTACAATTGTGATTGGTTTGTCGGGAGCCAGGTATAATATACATTGGGTGTAAAATCTTAATGAGCCTACTCTATTGTCCATTTTTACCCAAGGTTAAGATACACTTTAGGTAAAGTGCACGTACATAAAATCTAATTAAAAGATTAACATTAGAAAATACCCCTATTTGTATGAAACGAATAGTCCCTAATGATGGAATTTTTGCAATAGACATAGACAGACGGTATTCTGGCGACGATAAGATCATGGTCAAAATTATTGTTTGACAATAAGTAACAAGTAATGAGAATTTTCATGCTTTGATGTAAGTAAACAGTTATTAAAAGAATTATATTGTTCAACGAAGGAAATTTAACAGGCTTAGGCTGGCGCCCAATGGTGACACGACAAAATCTCCCCGACAAAATCTCATTTTAAATAATTTTAAATAATAATTTTATTATTCCTGACAGTTGTGATGGTATTTTTCGTGTAAATATACACAAAAAATCATGATAAAAGGGCACAACGAGATTTTGAAGCGTATTTTGTCGGGGAGATTTTGTCCGGGGAAATTTCGTGGTACAACCAAACGATATAGAAATGAATTTATATGAATAAACCATTACAAACTTAATTTATTTTTATATAAATTTCTTAAAATTCAACAAAAATATGGTTATAATATTATAATTTTTTATAAATTAATTCAAATGTTAACTGGCCAATGTTAACCGGCGCCAATATATGTGTCTGTAACAAGGACGTAGGGTAGAAGGACCGTTTTTGGCCAGTGGGGACTATTAGTGGGGACTATTCGTTTCATACAAATAGGGGTATTTTCTAATGTTAATCTTTTAATTAGATTTTATGTACGTGCACTTTACCTAAAGTGTATCTTAACCTTGGGTAAAAATGGACAATAGAGTAGGCTCATTAAGATTTTACACCCAATGTTTATTTTTTTTTTTTTTTTTTTTTTTTTATTAATTGAATAACTTATTAAGTACTCTATCACAATATTTAATATTTTGATAATTTAACTATATAGTTTAGATAAGTAATTGTGAATAAATGTAAATCAAGAGTTATCATACTAATTGTATAATAAAAAATAATTTAAATATAAATATTTTTGTTATTTTTATTTATGAATTTTAAAATTCAAATTGAAGTTTTAATCATTTAAAAAATATTTACTTTTTTTTCGTTGTAATTTTAATGAATAATTAAATTAATAGATCAAGGACCTCCAAGTATCTCACAATGTGCTGGTAAGTAATTTTAATGACTTTTTATAAAGATTGACAAATTAGTTAAATAGTCTACTTATCAATTAGGTCTAAATACCCTTAAATATTTTGAAAATTTTATTTTTTTTCATAAAAAAATCTTAAAAATATCAAGAATGTTTCCATTATCAAATTAAAAATTGACTATTTTAAAAGCATTTAAAAAAGTTAATTTATTCTTACTTTACTTAGTGTAGAAAAACGCTTGTTACATATTTGTTTGAAAGTAAACATTCCCGGAAAAAAGATTTATTTGATTTTAGATAATGTTTTTGAAGAAAAAGTGCTTTTTATTAAAAAAATAAAAATAAACAATAATTTTATATATATGAATTTATTTTCTTAAAATGTTCATAATAAAAATGTAATTGGATACAAAAATTAACTTCTGTTTAATATACTAAATTTAATAAATGCAATTTATCCAAATGCAGGGATTCCGGTTATAGCGCGTCCCAGGATCAAACCATGAATATCGTCAGTTCCTGTATGATAAAAATTATATTTCATTAATGTATGAGAAAATTTAGTTATTGTTCTTAATAATCAATGTTCATGCATAGTTACTATACCTTCGTAAGTAATAACAGCTTCCAGATTAACCATATGTCTTATGATGTGATATTCATCGGAAATTCCATTTCCACCCAGCATATCTCGAGCAGATCGAGCAATATTGATTGCTTTTGCCGCGGAATTTCGTTTTATAAGAGAAATCATTTCAGGAGCAGCTCTGCGTTAAAATTGAATGGAGTTCAAATTAAAAAATCAAGAAAGTCATTTAAAGTGATAATTATCTTTCAACGTAATACGAACAATAATAAATTTTAATGTAATTTCAAAAGACAATTATTCTTTAAAGTAATTACAAATCTTTGTAGGTGGATATAAAATTAAACATGAAAATTATATAATTTTAACTATAAATATAACTTTAGGATTTTTTTAAGTCTAATGGATACTTCTCCAATCATAAATCCCCAAAATTAAGTCTTTATATTTTTCTGAATATTGAATGTCCTGTATATTTTAATAAAAAAAATGATTTCACCTACTACTTAAATGGGGAATTTTAAATGTTTAGCTACACCTTTTGAAATTGAGCTAAAATTTTTTCCAACCGAGAAAATTTTTTTCTCAATATATGGGTCCGTTCTAAGCTACAAATTTAATAGGTTGTTTTTTTGGTTCACTCTAATGGACATATATGCCCAAAAAAAAAAACCAAACTAAAATATCATTTCAAATAGTAATAAAAGCTATGTGAATGTCGAAATGTTAAAGTATAATATTTAATAATTCCACTTTCAATGTTTTTCGTTTGCACGTTAAAGATTATAGTATGATATGTAAAAATGATCAAGAAAGCTTACTAAATTTAATATTCCCGACGTTAATATTTACTAAGTGAAACAATAAATTTTAACCGCAACGTAAAAAATCGAACTATAATTATTGACAAGTGACAATTTAATATTTATTACAGTAAACGCTACAAAACATTTTTTTTAATATTAAATTATAAATTTTGTCTTTTACACTTTTTTAACTTTATGCTTTGTAATATTTAATGTTATGCTGAGTAAATTTTTTAGTTTAGTTTCTTTCATAAGTCCTTATTAGAAAATATTTTCTCGGGTAGTTATAATAATAATAATAATAATAATAATAATAATAATAATAATAATAATAATAATAATAATAATAATAATAGTAATGATGATGATCAAATAAAAATACCTGTTTTCATCCTTCAGCCTACCAACCCTCAAACAAGCTTGCAAACCAATAGAAATTTCAGAGACCATATCAGCAAGTTTTTTCTGTATCAACTGATTAGCCGCCAAAGGTCGTTTGAATTGTTTCCTGTCTAACACATACTGGTTCGCAATTTTCAAACACTGTTCAGCTGCGCCCAGTGCCCCCCACGCTATACCATACCGTGCATGGTTCAGACATTCAAAAGGTCCCTATATCATAAATCATATACCTTTATTAATTGCAACTTAATGTGATTTCATTGTTTATACCCTAAGACCGGTGACATTAGGTAGCATATTTGATTCAGGAACAACAACATCGTCCATAACAATCATCCCAGTGGTGGAGGCCCGTAAAGATACTTTGCCATTTATTTTAGGCGTGCTGAGTGTGTCTTCATTCCCCTTTCGTTCGACTATAAATCCACGGATCTTGTCATCTTCACATCTCGCCCACACTATGCACAAATCTGATACTGGGGAGTTTGTTATCCTGAAGAAAACAATTAAAAGAATATGATAATTTCATTATAGATTTTGATGTTTGTGAAAGAGTACTGACCATGTTTTACTACCACGTAACTTGTAAATTTTTTTATTCGCGTCATATGTAGCTCGTGTTTCTAATGATCCTATGTCACTGCCGTGGTTTGGCTCCGTTAGTCCAAAGCATCCAATGTAGTCACCACTAACTGGATAAAAAAAATCTCAGTAGAATTTGAAATTGGAAGGGTTAAAATTTTGTCGAAAATTCAAGGAAGAAAATGCTTGGTTGGATATTGATTTCAGATCTGAGTTTTAGTCGGGGACCCAAAGAAGTACTTATTAAATTTATATAAATAGGTAGTATATTCAACTTATTCAACGACTATTGTATCTAATCTTTTTTATCGAAAATGTAACATCATTTGTTTGGATATGATTATGTTCTAATGTTATATTTGATTAGATATTAATTAATCAGTCCAAATACATCATCAGCTATTAAATTTATTTTTTAAGAAAACAAATATGCAAGTTACCTAATTTAGGTAAATATTTATCTTTCTGTTCTTGACTGCCCCAAGAATCAATAGCAGTTGATGCAAGATTTTGCACTGAATATGACGACCTGTACCCGCTATCAACAGATTCTATTTCTTTGGTAATAAGACCGTATGCTACAGATGAAACTCCTGAAGCTCCGTAGCCCTTCAAAGTGCAACACAGAACTCCAAGGTCACCCAACTCTTTCATTATACGTTTGTCGAAATGTTCATTTCTAAAGGCATCTAATATTCGTGGCTGCAACTTCTCCTGGCAGTATGAGTGAAATTGATCTCTGACCATTTTTTCATCTTGAGTGTACTGTGATTCAATGTTGAATGGATCTTGCCAATCAAATGTATCTAATAGAAATTAATATCGATGATTACTTTTGTCATTAACAAAGAATCTCATCCTTAATTCTTGCTTCTTTTCATTGAACCTTTCAAGCTTCTTAATAATTTAATAAAATTAATAATATTCTTAAGAGATTTTAATGACACCGCTATAAAAAAACGAATGTGAAATCACTGTACGTTTTTGTAATTGAGTCATCTCAATTAAATATTTGTGAAAAAACTGATATTATTTATTTTTTATGTCACCAGAATTTTGTTTTATATTTATATGTTTTTTCCTGAGTCTACTTTTTAAATCACCATTTATAGTTGAGTATAGGAAATGAGCATGTAAATTACAATTATATTTTATGTAAAATAATTTTATAAAATCATCGAGCTTTAAATAGTAATTATTATTTTCTAAAAGTTTCCGACGATATTTTTAAAAAATATCGATTTATATTGTCCATTTCTTCCCATATATAACCAAGATTTTTATCATTTTTAAAATTTAATATTCAATGAAAATTACTGAAAAACAGTTTAGTTATCTTTTTTTTAAACGATTCAAAATTTTTTAAACTTCCACATATTAAATATTTTTTTAATTGTTACATCAATAACTTTATTACACTGAAAAAAAATTAACTTGATTCGAGAGAAAAATTCTTGCACCAAGAAAATAATTTTGAAGAAGATTAAGTTCTTCAAAATTATATACTTAATTCAAGAACATTTTTTTTTTCTGTGTAGGACCTTCTTAAAGCTAAATAATGTCTTCTTCAATTAACCCCTGCAAACCTGATATTACTCTAATTGCTCTAATTGCAATATGTTACTCTAATTGCTCTGGCTAGAACAAAAAATTTAAAATTATTGATAATGTTAGTTCTCAATAAGAGAAGTAATTCAAAAGTAATAAGAAGAATTCATATTTCGTTTTTTATAATCCTTTTTAATCTGTTTTTTTAATCAGGTTGACTTTATTACATTTCTTGAAAAAATTTTATTCTGTGACTGCGTATATGACTCAACTGAATCAAAAAACTTTTAACAGGATACGCGAATATCAAAAAATATTAAAAAAATTTCCCAAGAAAATAGTTTTTTTTTTTATTTAACTTAGAATTTTCATAAAACAAAGGGAAATTTCATTCATAATGTCATCAAAAATAAGAACCATTCAGGGTAATCCCATGAAATGAAGCGTTCTCAGATACAAACACCGCCATCTATTAAAATAGTACAGTACTAATAAAATTTAAATCTCCAATAGATAATACAGATAATACAAAAATTTATTGACCTAGTTTTAATTTATTAATATAAGTATTTTTAATTACATAATAACCCATAGAGAAAGAACAATGAATATTTATTTATCGCGTATTTATAAAATATAAATATGCATGTATCACATATTACATTAAAACCCGATACATACTCGAGATAACGTATGAGTTAATGATAAACCCGGTTAAGTGTTAATAAATGAACTTACAATTTTTACTATTTTTACTCGTCGCAACTGAAAAACCTGAATAATAATTAAGAAAAATAAAAATTAATAAATATGTATGTTTAATTTCCTATTTTTATAAGTAATTATTTTTGGTAATTATCATTATTAAAAAATATTGTAAAGGATACATTTAACCGATCTTGATGAATAGTATCCGTTTAAAATTTTAAATAAATTATTTTGCGCACGCACAGCCATACTGACAGTATCACTATTATTATAACGAGAACTACTGTTATTATTATTATTATAACCAGCTGTTACCACATCAACAACTCGATAAAAACTAAGCTAAATATCGTTACAATCAATATTTTATTTATTCATATTAAAATGTTTATCACATGACACGAAATCTCAAAGTACTTATACGAACATACACAGTCACATAGATATTTAAAGAGTTTTTATCTGTTAAAGTGATAAATATTCAACAAAAAAATTAAAAAATTGTATTACGACTATTGGTCGAATAACACGTGGTATATTTGCCGCGATAATTTTGATAATTTCGTATAAATTTAACCGTTAAATTATCACTCATCAATTTTTTTTATTTTAGTTTCAGGATAATAAGATTTTATCATTTTTAATAATTTATTTATTTATTAATCATATGTTATTACATTCTAATACACGTCATGAAAGTAAAAAAAAATCATGTTTGTTCATATTAGGTAAAAATTGTTTTTAATTTCACAGTAAAAAATTTTCCGCGACTACATCAAAAGATATTGATGAAAAAAATTTTTTTGTTAAATATTTAACACAATTTCAATAAATTAACTACAAAAGTATTGAACATTTAACATTAAAATTTTAAAGACAAAATTTTTTTGACTTAATGACGGAAAATTTTTCAACTATGTCCTCGCACACTATAAATAAATTTTTTACAACAAATTTTACTCACAAATATTTGATCGTTCATATTATGTAACTACAATTATAATTGTAGTTTTCACACAGTATAGTAAAATAGTAAATTATTTGAATCCAAAAATTTTTAAAATTCACACTGATTAAATATTAAAAAATAATGATACTGAAATTTAAAGACAATTGACAATTTTTAGAATTTTTTTTTTAAAACAATTTACAACAAAGTTGTAAGAAAACATTTCAACTTGTGAAAAATGAATAAATTATGGATGCAATTTTTTAAAATAAATTTTTAGTACTAATTTATTTATTGAATGAAACTAAAAAGTTGTCAGATGTCTGCTGATTTCAGTACTGTAAAAAATATCAATTTTTTCAAGTACTTCAATACTCGTAATACAATAAGTTTAAGGCCTGCTTTTTTGATTTCATATAATTTGAACAATTAAAAATCACCTCTTCCACTTTCAGAAGAAATCATTGACGATATTATATATAACAACAAAATAAATTGTACAATAAGTTCATAAATAATTAATTATTATTATTATTATTATAAACATTTAACAATAAAATATTATTCATCATTATCACAAGAACTAAAGATGGACAATAAGATTATAATTTTGTTTAAACTATCAACGCATCTTCTTTGTGATGAGGACCGTCAGGTAGTCGTTGATTGAAAACACGAACATTATGGAAAAAAAAGCTAAGTGATTCGGTACATGGACGAACAATAGCATGTGTAAATGCAGTAAAAAAGGTTCTAGTTGCTGCGCATGAAATTTTCCAGACTCTTAGGCAAGGCGCTATACACCAGATATGCTAAAAATGATAGAATAAGAATGAATCCATTATTAATTAGACTTAACAGACAAAGTGATATAATTATTAAATTGATAATACGTACTTGAAAGGAGAGACAAGCGAATGTGAATCCTAGAAATAGTGCGAGGATAGGAGCTATGAGAATTGATAGGAAGATATAGCAACACCCTCGAGAGAGACGAAAACAGTGGCCACTTAATCTCCAAGCACATTCTGGGCTTCTGACACCATCTGGTTCACCCACTACATCATCCCATTGTACCTGGTTGCAATTTTGTTATTTTTAAATTTATAACTTATAACAATATTGTTGTATTTTGATAAAAATAAAAGCGAACTTTTTTAAAAAATAAAAGATTTTACGTGAGTCACCAAAATTCTTAAAAGTTCGACTGAAATTGTTTTGAAGCAAAAGATATTTACGAAATAAGAAAATTTCAGTCCGATCAAGATAATTTTAGTCTTCGTAAAATTTGTTTTGAATTAATTTATGATTATAATTAAATTAAAAAAAATAAAAATAAAATTCTGTCCAGAAAATGATTTCTTGGCTCAAGAATCCATTGAAATGAACCATTTAATTTATTTATTTTATGTAGAAGTTTTTGGTTACTCCACATTTCACTTTATAAGGAGAAAATTTTTATGTTAAAATAATATCATAAAATTTTTTAATTCTAATATTTATATAAACCACTACTTTTATTATTATTAAAAATATATGCTCTTATGTCAAGGTAATTTTTAAAAAGTTTGGAAAATCCAAAAGTGCACGCCTCATAATCTCATTTTTCCACAATAAAATTGATTAAAATAAAATATAAAAAGCAAAATAATAAAAAACAGAAAACTCTGCTATGGTTTAGTGGCGCCATAACTCTAAGGTGAGGAAAAAAAATACTATAATAAAATGTATAGATAGATATACAAAAAAATCCACAGTCATATATTAGTTTTTTATAAATAATAATTTAACGACAGTGAATTGAACGCTCATATTAATTAGGAAAATCCTTCGTGTGTTACTTTAGATAATAAAAAAAAAAATTATTCCGGTACGATCATTTTTTCGACCAATTTCCCTGCCACATACACCCATCCATACACGGACGTCCAGAAAAAATTATGTTAAATGTTATTATTTACTATGTTAAACAAAAAAATTGTTATTGAAATATATCTTATGTGCCTGACAAATTATTCGACTTGATATAAGCGTACTCATATTAACCTGTAAGTGCGATATAAATAACAAAAAAACAATTTTAGTTTCGAGAAAACTGCTTTTTTTGAAATGTCGAGAGAAGAGCACATTTAGATAATAAAAAAAAATTATTCCAGTATAATTATTTTTTCGACCAATTTCCCTGCCACATACACTCATCCATACACGGACGTCCAGAAAAAATTATGTTAAATGTTATTATTTACTATGTTAAACAAAAAAATTGTTATTGAAATATATTTTATGTGCCTGACAAATTATTCGACTTGATATAAGTGTACTCATATTAACCTGTAAGTGCGATATAAATAACAAAAAATCAATTTCAGTTTCGAGAAAACTGCTTTTTTTGAAATGTCGAGAGTAGAGCACAACCTCAACGCTTCGCTTATGAGGCGTGCAATAAAACTATTCTTTTCACATTGTAAAATTATCTATTTTATTAAAGGATAATTTTTGTTCTAAAAATAACTCAAGCAATCCAGAAATGATCGTTAATTTTTAAATATAAAAAACTACTTAGAACTATGTGAAGCTTTTAGACGATAAGAATAAAACTTTCTTAATTTATGTATAACACATTTATTGATCAGTAGCTATTACATCAAAAAAATTTCAACTATTTAAAATTTACAGTCTTAAATTTATAAGAACGTTATTTTTGACATTACTCGACTGATAAAAATAGAAAAAAATAGTTTTTAAGTTTGATAGTGAATCACTAAAAAAATAATTTGACACGTGAATATAAATTAAATTTTGTTGCACGATATTTTTGAAACACTTCTTAGGATTAAATCTGATTTAATTTAAAATGCAAATCATTAAAAAGTTCCAAGGGATAATAAAAAAAATTTTCTCTTATTATTGACTATCTCTATTTATTTATAATTAATATTTGAACAAATAGAAAAACCTGTAAGTGATGATTCAAATTATTGGGATCTCTATCTTCAAGTTCAGCGGTACTTTCCGGACCTATAGAAGATCCCGGTTTCTCCATTGGTGGTAGCAACCTGTTGAAACACGACGTTAAGCGTATGAACATCATCCTTCAACACTGTGCAATCACCCCAATAAACCGTGCATTAATAAACTAAAACAATTAGCCACTCATTAATAAAACAAAAATAATAAAATCACAGAGAGAGAGAGAGAGCCCGACTTATGATTGCAGTAAAATCGCTACTGACTCTAGAGCTTACAACAATAAAGTGACTCCAGTAAAGTAAAAAAGCCTTCAGTGATTGATTTCATTAAATAGTAAAGTGCAAAATGCCTCTAATGTGTCACGATTAAATTCTTCCGGTAAACTATTTTTAATCATTCAATACTTTAGTGGTCAAGGTTTAAATTAATAGTTTGAACTTTAAACTTTTTCTTCTATTGAATCTAATTATTGCAGTTTCAAAATAAAATTTTTAATTCATTAAAAAATATTAATTGAACACAAGTAAATATTTAAAAATTCAATTAATGATTAAAAATATTTGAATGTAAATTTTAAAAACTTTCTTACCTTGAAAAGTGTGTATTAACCCCAAGATTATTATTTTAAAAAATTATTATTATATTTTTTATTAATTTATTTTTACAATAAAAAGTTCGTTGTATTTTTTATTGCTTAACAACCATAACTGTTTACACTTAATAATAAATGTACATGTAGGTATGTGATGTATAGTAGGAATATAATTTTGTACAGACAAAGTGGACAGCGGTCAACGCGCTTGCGCTCTTCGGTCACGCATCACTTTTACCTGCGGGTTGCTACACCCTTAACAGGTACAAGCAATTCAATAAATACACCGGAATACTTGGATCAGCCATGAATTCTATTACTATTAATGTAAAGAAAAAAAAATTATTGGTTTTTTAATAAGTTACAAAATTTTTAAAGTCGTAACACGAAACCTGACTTTTGAATTCAAATTTGAAAGTAAAAGGGAGGGAATTTTGTTGCACTGTAATGATAATTGCATGAGGAAGTATGTTGAATATTTTTATTTTTACGGTATAATCCAGAAGTCACGAACAGAGATTGTACGATAAGGAAAAGTCGATACTCCTTATTAGGAATAATTTTTTTAAAAATGTAGGTCAATAATTTGGGTTTTAAAGTGTTACTTAGTGACACACTTTTTTAAATTTAGTTTTTTCATTGAAAGATTTGTTTAAAATTTCAACGAAATTTTTAACACGGCAATTTTTGACAATGAAAAGTGACAACTTTTTTAAAAGTAAAATTTTAAATATGAAATTAAGTAATTCTAGTCGGTACAAACTTACTAGAAAACTTTTGAACAAGGGTTGCATTATTAATATTGTTTTAGTCATTAAATTATTTTTCATGAATGACAGTAATTTGAGTAAGTGGAACAAAATAGCGAAAAAAGTGGAACGATAAGTAGTTCATTGTTCAAATGCAAATTGAATAAATAAATTGAATCGATAAAGAATTAGTTAACTATTTTAAATAAATATAGTAACCAGTGGTCTCTGCGTGGGTGTCTAATAATAGGAACCTTGAACGATAAATTGAGTATAGTAATTTCTTTATTTTCAGATTATAATTAGAAATTTGGGTAAAATTTATTCATACAAAAATAACTTTTCGAAGTTTTAAATCTTTATAGCAAAATATTAAAAATCTTTTGTAAGGGAAGCTTTCAAAATTTCACACGAGAAAATTAAAATTTAAAGGAAATTTTTGTGTGCTGTATTTAGTGAACATTTTGAATTATTGACAATGTATGTGGAAAAATTTGGAAGAAGTCGAATTTTTAATCAATGCAAAATAAAATTAATCACTTTTTTTAACATTTTTAAGAAATGAATCAGTCTTTTTAAAATAATACTTATTTATTTGAGCAGGAAAAACGAGGTACTTAAGAAATTTTTAATAAAAATTGTTGCTTCCTAAACAAAATTTTCTTCTTTGAAGGAACAAATTAGGTTCCCCCTAAAAAATGAAAAAAAAAATTATTTCTTCAATATAAAATAAAGATTAAACGATACTATTCCTTATAAATAATTCTACTAAAAAACCAAGACTGATAACCAAATCATACAAAAGAGAAAAGTTGAAGGAATACAATCTTTGCAAAAAATTTGGGGTGTAAAAAATATTTCCAAATTTTTCGGTAATTATTTCTGGGCTATTTAAGTGGAAAATTGTCATATCCAACGATAGGAGAGGGTTCACGTTTTAAAAATTCTGATAGTTATGGTTCTCACACAATTTTGATATGAAAAAAAATTTTTAAGCAGTAATCATTATTACCGACCATTAGTAGTGACTAAAGCTTGCGCTTAAATTCCTAGATGTCGCTACATATTCTACAAACGCACGAATTTCATGCGGCTCAGAAATATTCTTGACAAAGCGAGATTAATAATTAAAATTAATAACGCAAAAAATTATCATAAAAATTTATCTACCATAAAATTTTCAAATATCTCTTCTTCTGACGTAAGTCCCAGGTTGTCACGTGTATGAAAATTAAAAATTTCCGTACATTTGAAAAAAATAAACGATGACATTAATTGTTTCCTCATCTGACAAATCTTGTTATATTATCACAGTATCTCAATCTCAATGTATAATACTGAATATAATAGTATATACTCGATTAATATAAACACGTGCACGACTCAACTTTTAGCTACTCAAACATTAACACTATGAATGAAGTAAACGGCTCAGTTGAGTCACATTGCATCTTATACATTTTATTATTAATGCTTTATACAATCGACACGTGAAGTAATACGTCAATGACGCTAAAATATCTCGTGCGAAAAATTGTGTCATCTGAAAATAAATTTATCAAAAAAATCAATTCCCAGATGTTACTCAATAGAAGTTATATTTTAACTTGTGGCACGTGAATTAAGTTATAATTAAAAAATCAAAGTTATTAATAAAAAAATCAAAGTTATTTTTGTTAAATCATAATTATTTTCCCATTTTGAAAAACGAATAATAATACTGGAATTAACAGAGATTGACAATTTTTATAACTTATCTCAACAAGTGAATTCTTAAAATAATAATTTTTTTTTTCTAAATTTCACTTATTGAAATTTCAATAAATTATAAATGGAATTTTCTAAAAATATTTCCTCAGCACTGATTTATTTTTTTAATTAATGAAATTAAATATCTGCTTATTTCAGTATCAAAAATAATTAATTCAAAAAAAAAAATCTATGACCAAGAATATTGTTTTGAAAAATTTCCGCGTACCTTTTTCTAGTACAAAAAGAATTATAAAATGAAAAAACAAAGAATGAATGGCACGAGCAAATTTCCAGTCACGAAATGATCATGTCACTGCTAATTAAATTAAGGCCCAGTAGATCCTATCGATTTATAAGGAATTTAAATCTATGCACATTGCACACTGACAATTAAACACACTTGCATGTAGATGCAATGCCTTCCAGTTGCTATTGAACTGTATACATTAACATCCACGTATACAGATGTACATGTAATGTAATAGCAAACAACATAAGACACAGCCAGTCAAGCGTAAAAAGAGATCCGCTAACGGTGATCCTTGCTCCTGAGAACAGGAGTGATCGCACCGTAACATTATTACTTATTACGACACACCTTATGAATTAAAAATACATGATTTTATCAACAAGTTAAATTCATTTATCCCTGACAAATCACTTTGACAGAGGAAATCGTAGATGGGTCATTCCATGTCAAATCGACCAATAGTTGGAATCGACCCCTTTCGATTTGGACGAATTTTGGTCAGAAGTTTTCTTTTCTCATATAACGAAGTTCTGCCAAAGGAAAAAAATAAAAAAATTTTTTTCAAAAGATGTGCAAACTCAAAATTTCGCGATTTTTCCAGTTTTTCAATTTTGTTTTTGTAATATCTCGAACGCTAGTAGAGTCATTTGGGGTAAATGTGCGCAGTGGGTATATATATAAGCGTGCGCAAACCCATTCATTTGAGTCCCAAATACATGGGATTGCGCACTCTTACCCACTTCGCACATTTACCCCAAATGACTCTATAGATACAGGAATAATTTTTCGTTTGTTTGAAAGGGAACACTTGGAGCTATTGGAAAAAAAATGTTTTGGGAAAAAATTTTGAAAAATGCCAAATTTGTCAGATTTTGAATTTTTGAAAATCGTCAAAAATGACGGTTGACAATAAATTTTTTGCTCAAATTTTTTTGTATACTTCCTTGTTCCAATCTTAAGAGATCCTGAAATTTTTGGATCTGTGTTTTTTGTTTTTTCAAAAATATGAATTTTTGAAATTTGTTGAAAGAAAAAATTTTTCTTAAAATTATTTTTTTTCTCATCGTTATGCCACTAAATGACATTTTAATTGTTCAGAATATCGAAATTACGCGATTTACCAAACTCAATTGAGATAAAAATAAAAAAAAAATTTTGGAGAAAAATTTTTTTTTTTAAGAAATTTCAAAAATTCATATTTTTGAGAAAACAAAAAACACAGTTCCAAAAATTTCAGGATTTCTTAAGATTGGTACAAGGTAGTATATAAAAAAATTTGAGCAAAAAATTTGTTGTCGACCGTCATTTTTGACGATTTTCAAAAATTCAAAATTTGACAAATTTGGCATTTTTCAAAATTTTTTCCCAAAATATTTTTTTTTCAATAGCTCCAAGTGTCCCCTTTCAAACAAATGAAAGATCATTCCTGTATCTATACTAGCGTTCGAGATATTACAAAAACAAAATTGAAAAACTGGAAAAATCGCGAAATTTTGAGTTTGCATATCTTTTGAAAAAAATTTTTTTATTTTTTTTCCTTTGGCAGAACTTCGTTATATGATAAAAGAAAACTTCTGACCAAAATTCGTCCAAATCGAAAGGGGTCGATTCCAACTATTGGTCGATTTGACATAGAATGACCCAGATGCAATGAGCTGTTTATTGCTATTTTATTTTACTATTCTTATTTTGAATTACAGAAAATAGGCGAGGTAATTTTATTAAATGAATACTTTAGTTCTTAAAAATAATTTCATCGATTCATTCACTATTTTCATTTTTATTTTTTTTTTTTGTAAAAAATATTAAAAAGATGACACTTGTTTATTCAACAAGTTGACTGGTAAGTTTTTCTGGAAAAACTAGACCTTTTATTACATCATCCAATTTTTTACTGGTGACTCATCTCGAATTTTCCTTTTAAATCCTTAACCTACAGGGTGCCGGAGATAATTTCTAGACTAACCTGTATTGTTATGCATACTATTGATATAAAAGATTAATTAGCTTTTTTAAAGTTAAGAAAAAGATAGTTTCTTGGAATTATTCTTTTATTTTATTATGTCAATATTATCTTAACTAATTTTACCCTTGTCTTGGACTAGTTTTTGTAAAAATCAATCCGTATGACGACAATTGACCTAAAGAAAAATATTCTCACACTAAAATCCCCGTATTAAGAAGAAAGTTCGATATTTTGTCAATAATTATGGTTATAATAAAATAATTTTAGTATAAAAGATAAATTTAAGAGCTGTAGCTTCCTCAAGACGATTAACCAAAAATACATACTTTTTTACGGTACAGTGATTTTATATTGTGATAATAGCAATAATGTGATGTAATATTCATCACAATATAGAGGTGATTTTCGGGAATTTTTTTAACAGGAAAAAAAAAGAAATTTGGAGATGGGATTTTTTTTATTTTATTAAGGGTACATTAAAGACTATTACCTTAAATTTTTATTAAACAATATTTAATTATTACAAAGTTATTAACAATCTCGTAGAGCATTAGAAAAAATTTCCCCCTCCATGGTCGGTTCGATAACTCAAAAACAGATCATCTGAAAATAAAAATCTAAATTGCATTTTAATT